CACACACTTTTTTGACTACTAATTTGTTTGCGAGAATATCTTTTTGAAGAGGGAGGCGAGGGGCCATGGCCTACAGGTTAGCGCGCTCAATTAGGACCAAGTGGTGTAAGTTAGAGCCTTGATGGGCTCATAGCGTTGTACCAGCCAGGTGTATAGATGGGCACCGGCGAACTTAATGCTGGCTGATATCCTTGCGATGGACTAGCGTCCGATCTCGGGGAGAGTGGAAATACACCTAGTCTCTTTATGCTGCACGAATTCAGTGTAAGAACTAACTAAGCGCTTCAGTGACAACCGTACACCTCGAGCAGGACGATCTCCTGTCGCCATGCAAGACACCACTGAAGCTATTTCAACCCTCGGAATCGTGAAAAATTATGTTTTGTAGTGTTGTTGCGATATGTTATAGATATAACGGTGGTTCAGCATTGGTCACTTTGACATAAATGAATCTTCCTTCTTCTACGCAAATATAATATGAACTTCCAACTTCTAAGCTAAATTATAACATACCCAACGTCTATCGGTGCCTGACAAACAGACAGATGTGATGTAGCGGGAAATTAACACAAGGCGGGAGTATACTTTTTTTCCGGTGGCTGATGTAACAAGTGCACAATTAAAGTTATAAATTTAGAGCGGTTGGTGCAAAATTGATCTTCTACCTGTTAATCAGAATCGAAAACTTCGTGGAGTCAAGTCCTGCGCCACTTGCTTTTGGCAAGCGGTTTGTCACGGTAATTAGGTTGAAAAAAGCAACAACAACAGCGTTAATTTTGAGTCGAGTGGTTCTAAGTCCCGTTGTTATTGGGTTTCGGGTTACTTCTTTCGCTCAAACTGTACTTTCCTCGTAAGAGCCGCTATGTCAAAAAGTGTTTCTATTTACATGTAACGCGGACTGTCTTTTTAGCTTACTTTGAAATAATTCTTAACGTAGGTTTGTGTTGTTAATCGGTCAAATCAGACTAACTTAATAATCTTAAGGTGGAGGTTGAAGTCTCCCAAGCACTAAACGAATGAAGTGGCAATAAAGTCACAGTATTGATGCCGGATCAATTCTTTCAAGGAATAATTAGAAGAGAACAGACATTCGATATACCGGAATTTTCCAGTGTATTTCCTTTTCTGTTAAAAGTAAAATAGAGAATGGTGTCATCTGTCTGTATTCTTCTCTGACTCATTACAAAATACCCGTCGACGGTAAAGAGAAAAGGAGTAAAGTGGGAAAGCAATAATGGAGGAGAAACACTGTTTCCCGGCTATGAAGTATTTGCCTTACAGGGACACACTTGTGCGTGGAAAGCACCTACACTGATCGACAATGGCAAAGCAGGTTGTGCAATCAGAAGAGATCACGGTTTTCGTGAAAGTGGCATCCAGTCCTTGGATTCTTATTCTGGCTCTTTTTATTCGGCGAGGAACTGGACTTTCAAAGTGGTTGCCAAGCAATATGTCCCGGCCCTAAACGCAGATAAGCTGCGCAGAAGGTGCGAAAAAGTCCTACGGGCTCGTATTTAGCCTAGTTTCTCGATCTTAGCTAATCTTTATTTATCTTTCTCGGTTATCAATTATTAACACAAAAATAATAATAATAACCAATAACAGTAATACTTTATTTATGTAGCACTGATTTCGTTTCTTAGCCGGCCTGCATAACCCTATTTCTCCCCCTTTTAATTCTACTTTTTTATTAGAGGTAGGCATGTTAAACTGAAGCTACTCATCAAAAAAGGATTAAATTCTATTACACACCTACTTGTAGAATTAATAAAAGTTTGTCCATAATTTAGTTAAAGGAATTTTGAACGAAATCGTCTACAAAACACATCGTATTTTCCTTCTTTTACAAGAAACCAAGCAGCTTCCATTGTGGATACAATGCTCCAGTTTTCAAAAGTCAAAAAAAAAAATTGGCTAATAGCTTATTACATTTATCTATTGTCCTTGTTTTACAGGCAATAGCCCTATCTTTGTTTTAATTCTTTCGCTGTTAAGTTGGCGTTTGTTGTTGTTCTTGTCTCCGTTGTTGTATTTGCTGAGTTCCTTTTGCTGTTTTTCCACCATCCTTTTGTTTCCGAATCTGACTTTCCTCACTTTCAAAACCAAGTTATCCAAGTTTGTTGTCATTCTGTTTCCATTCTTCAATTCCCCTATCATGTTACGTTTGTATGGTATGACAGGTTTGATGGCGTCCTCGTTGATTGTATTCAGCGGTATCTTAGGTCCCCTGGGTTGCGTTGTCAGCTGGGATGTGGGTTTCCCGCCAGGAATCAGACCGGAGATCGCTTTTATTGCGTTCTCTCCAGCTTTTTTGAAAAATTCTATGATGTCTCTTGACTTTCGTTGTTGCGCTGAGGCTAGAAGAATAAAAAAATCATGAAATAAGCTGCTAAAATAAGGGAATCAGAGCCCCCTCAAATTTTTGCAAATTTAGAGTGGTTCCAGACAGCTTCAGTATACGTCTTCAAGTTACGAAAAACTATTTACCAATGTTTACCGCAATTTGGCAGTGAAAATGGGGACATCAACTTGTTTTCATTAATTGTCCATTAGTTTGAGGTTATATTGTAGAACTGACGATCAAAGAATATCATTATCAATCCATCAAAGTGCGAGATCATAGTGAAAAGTACTGAGGACTGTTATCAGTCATTCTATCGACATGAATAGGCGGCCATCATACACGATTACGATAAACCATTTTACAGTTGTGTGCTCAGTTACCTGACCTATGAATGCAAGCGAGGCTGGAGGTAGCGCTGCTTTGATACAAATCTCTATGCTTTTCTTGTTAGCATTAGAACAATTTAATTTACACAACAAAAGCAGTGAGGTCTGTATCAAAACAAGGTCACCGCCAGCCTCACTGCCATTCAAAGGTCAAGTTACTGAGCAGACAACTGTAAATTAACAAAGTGACATCAGTTTTTAATGCGTCTGTCCTGTTATTGATCATGAATTTCGTCATAACATTGTCAAAGTAGTCTGCGGATCCACTCGGCTATCCACAACTACTTTGACAATGTTATGACGAAATTCATTGTCAATAACAGGACAGACGCATGAAAAACCGACGCCAATTTTTTTTTACAATGACAAATTTTTCAAATTGTCCGCTCTCGCTCTTTGACGCATCGCATAAATTATAACTTCATGTGTCTGTCCGCATATTGACAATGAAAATTAGCCAATGAGCGCGCAAGAATTTCTCCAGTTATCGTAAAAATGGTTTATTGTAATTGTGTGTGATTCCTTCCTGGTGAAGAACTCCTACATAAGGACTATATGCATGGCCAGACACCGCGTGACATGCGTATATCGACCCAATCAGGATCAAGCTTAAAGAACTAATTAGAAAACCGCGCCCTGCAACCTTTGATGAATTAGCAGTTTACGAGTGTCACGTGTGAAAAACAAAATCACTCTATTGATTGTTTTGCAAGAAATAACAATGACTTCAAAGAGTCAAATTAGGAGATGAAATTATTTTACGCTCAGCTTCATTGTCTTCTTGTCATGGCGAGCAGGTGTTACGGGTAACAACGACAAATGAACTGCCAAAGCTTCCAGGGCTCCCTTGTCAAAATATTATGAGTTCCAAAACAATTTGATGCGGTGTTTACCACGGCCCAAGCTACTAGACATAGCAAACAAAGAAAGAACAATTCTACCTTGAATATGTAGTTCCACTGACAGACCCATTAAGAGCAGAATCAGAAACATAGCTGGCCACAAGAGGGAGAGGCTAGTAACAGGTCCAGCATGTGTTGTTCACTGTTGCAAGAATCGAAACACTTTGACTCATTGCGAGCAAATCTCTGCGCCTCCTTCAATTTCTTCAAAGGCCAAGCTAAGATTATCTCTTCTCAAAATAAACCATCTGGTAAAGTTCTTGAGTGTCGAGTGCAGTAAACATGTAAGGAAATAAGCTACTTATTTACCTATTCACATGTAATGTGACGTCGACAGATATAAATATTTGACTACTGGCAAGTCACAACAGTTGTTTGCTAAGTTTAGCCAATTTAATTTTTTTTATTTAGTACCTAAAGGGTACATAACATTGCGAGAGTTTTATAACTTAAATTAGACATTAAATTCGAAAACTGTAATGTGACGTTAGAGAAACGAAGACTGAGAGCGGAGTGCAGATGACTTCTAGAGGTTTAAACAAACAAAATTCGAGATGAAGACCTTTTTAACCTGTCATTCGCTAACAAGAAAATGATACATGTCATGATCCCATATTGCACCGCTTGGCTGTCACTGAGACGTGCAGGAAATGAAGAGGCTAGCTACGATAGTAATCACTTCCTTGTTTTGTGTTAATGTCTGTCACGTGTTAGCAGCTGTAAGTAGGTTTTTACTCTATTACGCATATCTGGGTTATGGGTGTTCCACAATAATGGGAACAGAAGATCGTCAGATAGGGACTAATCTTCTGGTGTCCGGAATTGATCTATCTCAAACTCCCCCCTTCCAAAATTTTAAAATCCATTTTAACCTCAGAAGAATCCCGAAAAACAGAGAGAAACTTTTAATTTTGCGATAAAATAGCTTTTATTACATAATCAGCTGCGCGTTACTAATTATGGCTCATGCTTCTGTGGCGGATTACATAAATTTTTGCATGTTTTGATAGGGTTATAGTTTCTCGAAGAGTTAAAAAATAGATACTTACAATAAGCGATGATATAATTCATTGCATTGCAACTGAAGACTAGCTCGCCCGCAAAGGCTTGCAAGCATGCTGGCATATTAAATATAGAATGTAGATGAATACTTTTTGTTAAGTAAAATGTCCATACGTTATTATATATACTGGGTGTAGTGAGTCTGTAATCTTAGATTGCGCAGGCACCTCCCATCTGTCAGTTCTAGTCAGCCTTATTTAGCAAAAAATTTCAACGACAGTTGTAGTTGCAGTGACTCAAGATGAAAATTTTCACGCCAAAAAAACCCGCGTTTTCTGCGTTTGACGCTAGATCCCGGCTGTCCTTCTCTGACAACAGGACCATGTCATTGCGTCTAGAATCAGCCCGAGCTATTGTTCGCCACTTTGGATCAACTCAAATCGGTTCGGCTGGCCAGACCTGACAAATGGTATGCGCCTTCTATTGCAAGTTTGAAGAATACCGTCAATTAAAGCTAAAACAGTTTGTTCAAAAACTGCTCCACTGCTCCTTCGGTGTGCTCTGAAGTCATCTTCTCAACATCACTTGGTTTAATCCCGAATTTCGCTCCAATAGCTTTGGCAAGAGACGCTGCCTTCTTCAGGGAAGAGTTGACCTCGTCAAACACCTGTCGAAGCCTGTTCTGAGTTTCACAATGAGCGAGTAGTGCTTGAGCCACTTTGAACTTTAATGTGTTAGTTTTCTGGATCTTTTCCTTTAAAATGTCAATCTTGCTCGCCTCAGGACTTTGCTGTTTGACCTGAGAACCTTTCTCTTGTTTTACCTCAGGCTTCTGAGGAGCATGCGCTGCTCTGACCACGTGATGTTCTGTGACCGCTAGAGCTTTCAAGATTTCTTTGGGTTTATCGTGTGCGACTGTTGAACTGTTTTGATTGATCACCTTCTTCGTTACGTTAGGAGACATTGCTTTCAGTTGGAGTGACTCTGTATGTACTTGAGGTTTTTCTTTGGTTATCTTGATTTCATGTGTGGGCAGATCTTTATTTTCAGCTGTTTGAAGCTTTGCTGTTTTTATGGTTTCCACACTAGCGGGACTTTTCAAGTGACTGGCGTTAACTTGCACACCTTGCGCTGGCTTATCTTTCGTATTTAAAGCTTTTTCTTTTGAGGCCTTAGTCAGCGCTGCTTGTTCAGCAGCTGCTGGTTTCAAACTAACTTTCTTTTCTGCTTCTTTTTTTGACAAGTCTTGAACAGGAGATTTTGGGTTCTCAATAGCCTTTTTCGGAGAAGTAGCGTCTTTAATATGAGGCGCGTCTTTCGACGTTTCCGCACTCTTTCCAGCATCGTTCTTCTTGATCTTATCTTCTACTTTAACAATATCTTTACTCTTTATCTTCTTTGGTAGATTCTTATGCGTGTCTTTCTGAGGTGTTGCGTGCTGTTCTATTGCTGTCTTGTGACTTTGCTCCTTCTTGAAGAGAGCTGTCTCAATCTGCGTCTGTTTCGCATCATTCTTTGCTGCTTTCTGGCTCTTTAAGGAACTGTGCGGCGCTGATGGCTTTTGAGATTTCTCTGTAGTTTTATCTTTTACTATTTTCTCTGTTGCTTTATCCTTCCCTGCCATCTTTGTCGTTTCATCTTTGACCATTTTTTCTGCTTCTTTGTCTTTAACTACTTCATGCGACGAAACAGTTTGCTTGGAATTCTTTTGATGTGATTTAGCTTGTTTCTGCAACAGTCTAATTTTCTTTGGATGTGTGAAAGTTTTGGTTTTTTTGGGTGCAAGGTCCTTTAACACTTTTACAATCTTCTCATCTTTATGCGTCTTCACCTTCTCTTTAGCAATCTCTTTCTCAGCCTGTTTTCTTCGAATATTGTCCATGACTTTCCAGTATTTGTCCAAACCTTTAAGATGGAAGTATTTACGCAAAACACTTTGAGGCATCTTCGAAAGTATTTCGAGAACACGCTTGTGCTTCTTTGTCAACTTTCTGCGAACCCCATGTTTCGCGTTCGAAGAACGCGGAAGATCTTTCCCTCCTGCTTCTTGTGGCTTGGCGATGTCAGATTTCTTGCTGCCTGTCTCGATGGTTGCCTGCTCGCTTCCAGCCATGAATTCCACAAGCGCTCTGTATGCTTTCTCGGGGACGCCAGTTTGTTCTTTGTGATCCTTTGCTCTGGCGTCACTTCCAATCAAGGCTTTGACCAGGTTTTCTTTACTTATCTCATCACTGTTTGCTTTATGCTTCGGTTTTTTATCCTGTTGCTTGGAAATTCGTTTAGCTTTCAAAGCTTTTGTCTTGTCTTGTACCTTTTTCTTTGTATTTCGTTTCTTGACATGTTTGTCTGCCTGTAACCCATGTTTCTTTGACAAATGATGTGACTCTTTACCCACCCGTACGTCTTTTCTCTTGATCTCAGGAGAATCCTTCTTTTTCTTGTGATTATCTTCATGTTCACCGGCATTTCTTCGGACGATTAATCGACCTATATCCGATACCAAGTTCGTATCCGTTCGCACATCTTCGTCGTCCTCATCGTCAGATCTTCGGGACCGGTGATGCGCTCGTTCGTCTTCCGTCACCGAAATTCCGCTCTCTTGAATCAGCCATTGGTTGATCTCGTTAGCGAGTATTTTCGATTCCCTTTCGGCTTGCTCTATAAGTTGTTCAAGTCTTCGCGTTGCATCAAGACTGCCTAGAAAATAAAAAATGCGTTGTTAAACACCTTTCAATGATTTGAAATATCACCTGATTTTGGCTTATGTGACGTCTAGCACAGTATGGTGTTTGGGTCCCTCCTAAATTTCAAATACCAGCGTAATACTCAATTGGATGCTTTCTTTCTTCCATCGCATTTACATCACGTGCACGTCACATGTTAACATCACGAGAGAAAGATTGTGAAAAGCACGGGAAGACAGCGCGCGAGCCTGGTGACGATTGAATTAATTTTTTCCTTGGTCGATTCAAAATAAAGACAACAGGTTTGATTTGTAGACTGAACATGAAGCACGAGTTTGTAGATTGCGTTTATAGATTATCGATCCCGACAAACGCAAACCTAAAAACTATTTTCGATAGTGAACGTTAAAACAGTCTAAACTATTCATGCTTACCTTCAGTCAGTTGTAGAGCGGCTCCGACAAACAAGACTATGGTCAAGTGGAAAACTGAATTGTAGCTTGGCGTCATGATCTTGCATGCTGCGATAACAAACAAACAAGAAAAGATAAACATGGCACTGATCGATGGTTACTGTGGTCAGTAATAAATTCACCGCATGTTTACTCGTTATTCACCGCGTGTTATTTTGGGTTAGTAATTACCCCAGTTCTCAATTACGAGTCCTGCTTTAACTTGTGTGAGCTACAACGTAGATTGATCGATGACAATTCCATAAAAACTATCCGGTTTTTCGCCGATTTCATGACTTTCTATATGTGTGTATACTTTCACCGAAAGGTGACCTGCGATCAGGCGTTCTTTTGCTTTTTTTTTCGGGGGAATAAAAGAACGCCTGCTCGCAAGCGGTAGTTACACCCCGTTGAACTCTTCTGCGCAAGGTGAAATGTGAGGAAAGATGGGGAGGCTGGAGTTCCTATTCTCTTACTTGGCATCGTTACCCTTGCCGTTTAATGTTCTCTCTTAACGTCATGAGCAATCCATTACCCAGTCCAAAGGGAACAAAATTGGCCACACCCACCATATTTAAAAATTTCAATATATACAAAATTGGCCGCACCCACCATATTTAAATATTTCAATGTATCAATTCTCTCTATGAATAAAAAAACTTATTAGACTGGAAATGTATAAGAAACTAACGCACCGATGTAGCAACATTTGATTTCTATCTATCAAGATGATAGATTGAATAAATATTATGAACACTGTTTACACTGGATAACGAAACTACTGTAACGGATTGTTTCAAAATTTTGCTGGGTTTTTTAAGTATATAATATTTTGTTTTGGTTAGCTGCCACGATCGATAGCCAGTGCTGAAAATGTTAATCGATGTGCTTGAATGAAACAAAGAGAATATAATAACTTCAATTCATAAGTAAATATTTAGTCATTAGGTTTTGTTAAGTGGGCGGTCAAGTATCCGCGCGGGGCGGAAAACACCCGTCGTAAGAGGTTTAACACAGCTAAGTATTATTCTCAAAATACCTTTTGTAACAAGAAATCCAAACCATACCCATGCCCGCGCAACTAAATTAATGCCGTTCTCTGGTTAAACAAAAACTCATGTTTTAGACTAGTTTAAGAATCGTAAATTACACAACCGAGGAACCGCGGGAGGCTCTCGATTTTAGACAACAAAAAATTCAACCAGCAAACTTTCATAGTCACAGTCATCATAAATTTTCGTTAACACTAACTCTACATGGCAAGACACTTTGCGCAATGTGGTCCGGTGCGAGAAGTCCCATTTGAAAAAATTTCAAGCCTTGTACAACTGCTACATAAGCTTACCTCCGAGACCAGCCCTTCACTCTTTGTGCTATCACCTTTCGTACACGCACTTATGGAATAGACTTTTTCTTTCACATACCGGCAGAAATCGCAACCCCGGAACGACCCGCTCTTCTACGAACAAAAGCCTTTCGATTTTTAGAGGGACTGCTGCAGTTATTGACGGAATTTTACACCAAATTTCAGGTGGAAAATCTCCTTGTTCTGCAAGATACAGTCAGGGTACCTGTTAAACGCGTGTTTAACTATTCATGTAGTCAGTGTGACATGTTTAGTGACCCGGGCTGTGTTTGTGTGTTCACTTGCCGATTGTGGATGTGATGTGTGTGTTCCATTGTTTGGTTGTGTCAAGGCCGGTCAAGGGCCCCATTTATAGTAAACAAATGCATGCAGTTCAGCGATGATTAAGCACATTGAATGGACAAAACCTAAATTTCAATCAGGTTTTTTTCACAATCAGGGTACTAATAAAACGTACAGCTTTTCATAACTCGTTTGTTAACTCAGCGCATCACGTTCTTTGCAAACTAAACCCCTTATTTATTATGATTGTTATGTTGTGTTAGTGACCGACCAGTTCCTCCCAGTTTCCTTTTTTTTATTTAGCTTTATCACTAATGTTCTGTGGATATAGGAAGTATAACCATCGTTTTAGACAGACAACGCCGTTAATGCTCTCGGTCTCTTTTTACGACTACTCAAATGGTTTTCCCTTACAAATCGAACTGGTGGAATAATTTGCAATATTTTCCAAGCAAACTCAATGAATTGTATCTGTTCAACACTTTTGTTAGTAAAGTTATCTTATGAAAACACTTGAATTTTAAGGAGAGATTAATTTTAGTCAAAAGAAAATTTGCCTAATTTTATTTCCGTAATTTCCGTCATTGCTCGTGGTGTGAGTAGCCGAAGAGTAACAAGCGGGAAATCTGGACGCGTTAAACTGGGGTTGAGTCGTAAGGGTTTTTCTTAGGTGTCCGCCGTACGAGGGTGGTNGCCTTCTTCAGGGAAGAGTTGACCTCGTCAAACACCTGTCGAAGCCTGTTCTGAGTTTCACAATGAGCGAGTAGTGCTTGAGCCACTTTGAACTTTAATGTGTTAGTTTTCTGGATCTTTTCCTTTAAAATGTCAATCTTGCTCGCCTCAGGACTTTGCTGTTTGACCTGAGAACCTTTCTCTTGTTTTACCTCAGGCTTCTGAGGAGCATGCGCTGCTCTGACCACGTGATGTTCTGTGACCGCTAGAGCTTTCAAGATTTCTTTGGGTTTATCGTGTGCGACTGTTGAACTGTTTTGATTGATCACCTTCTTCGTTACGTTAGGAGACATTGCTTTCAGTTGGAGTGACTCTGTATGTACTTGAGGTTTTTCTTTGGTTATCTTGATTTCATGTGTGGGCAGATCTTTATTTTCAGCTGTTTGAAGCTTTGCTGTTTTTATGGTTTCCACACTAGCGGGACTTTTCAAGTGACTGGCGTTAACTTGCACACCTTGCGCTGGCTTATCTTTCGTATTTAAAGCTTTTTCTTTTGAGGCCTTAGTCAGCGCTGCTTGTTCAGCAGCTGCTGGTTTCAAACTAACTTTCTTTTCTGCTTCTTTTTTTGACAAGTCTTGAACAGGAGATTTTGGGTTCTCAATAGCCTTTTTCGGAGAAGTAGCGTCTTTAATATGAGGCGCGTCTTTCGACGTTTCCGCACTCTTTCCAGCATCGTTCTTCTTGATCTTATCTTCTACTTTAACAATATCTTTACTCTTTATCTTCTTTGGTAGATTCTTATGCGTGTCTTTCTGAGGTGTTGCGTGCTGTTCTATTGCTGTCTTGTGACTTTGCTCCTTCTTGAAGAGAGCTGTCTCAATCTGCGTCTGTTTCGCATCATTCTTTGCTGCTTTCTGGCTCTTTAAGGAACTGTGCGGCGCTGATGGCTTTTGAGATTTCTCTGTAGTTTTATCTTTTACTATTTTCTCTGTTGCTTTATCCTTCCCTGCCATCTTTGTCGTTTCATCTTTGACCATTTTTTCTGCTTCTTTGTCTTTAACTACTTCATGCGACGAAACAGTTTGCTTGGAATTCTTTTGATGTGATTTAGCTTGTTTCTGCAACAGTCTAATTTTCTTTGGATGTGTGAAAGTTTTGGTTTTTTTGGGTGCAAGGTCCTTTAACACTTTTACAATCTTCTCATCTTTATGCGTCTTCACCTTCTCTTTAGCAATCTCTTTCTCAGCCTGTTTTCTTCGAATATTGTCCATGACTTTCCAGTATTTGTCCAAACCTTTAAGATGGAAGTATTTACGCAAAACACTTTGAGGCATCTTCGAAAGTATTTCGAGAACACGCTTGTGCTTCTTTGTCAACTTTCTGCGAACCCCATGTTTCGCGTTCGAAGAACGCGGAAGATCTTTCCCTCCTGCTTCTTGTGGCTTGGCGATGTCAGATTTCTTGCTGCCTGTCTCGATGGTTGCCTGCTCGCTTCCAGCCATGAATTCCACAAGCGCTCTGTATGCTTTCTCGGGGACGCCAGTTTGTTCTTTGTGATCCTTTGCTCTGGCGTCACTTCCAATCAAGGCTTTGACCAGGTTTTCTTTACTTATCTCATCACTGTTTGCTTTATGCTTCGGTTTTTTATCCTGTTGCTTGGAAATTCGTTTAGCTTTCAAAGCTTTTGTCTTGTCTTGTACCTTTTTCTTTGTATTTCGTTTCTTGACATGTTTGTCTGCCTGTAACCCATGTTTCTTTGACAAATGATGTGACTCTTTACCCACCCGTACGTCTTTTCTCTTGATCTCAGGAGAATCCTTCTTTTTCTTGTGATTATCTTCATGTTCACCGGCATTTCTTCGGACGATTAATCGACCTATATCCGATACCAAGTTCGTATCCGTTCGCACATCTTCGTCGTCCTCATCGTCAGATCTTCGGGACCGGTGATGCGCTCGTTCGTCTTCCGTCACCGAAATTCCGCTCTCTTGAATCAGCCATTGGTTGATCTCGTTAGCGAGTATTTTCGATTCCCTTTCGGCTTGCTCTATAAGTTGTTCAAGTCTTCGCGTTGCATCAAGACTGCCTAGAAAATAAAAAATGCGTTGTTAAACACCTTTCAATGATTTGAAATATCACCTGATTTTGGCTTATGTGACGTCTAGCACAGTATGGTGTTTGGGTCCCTCCTAAATTTCAAATACCAGCGTAATACTCAATTGGATGCTTTCTTTCTTCCATCGCATTTACATCACGTGCACGTCACATGTTAACATCACGAGAGAAAGATTGTGAAAAGCACGGGAAGACAGCGCGCGAGCCTGGTGACGATTGGATTAATTTTTTCCTTGGTCGATTCAAAATAAAGACAACAGGTTTGATTTGTAGACTGAACATGAAGCACGAGTTTGTAGATTGCGTTTATAGATTATCGATCCCGACAAACGCAAACCTAAAAACTAATTTCGATAGTGAACGTTAAAACAGTCTAAACTATTCATGCTTACCTTCAGTCAGTTGTAGAGCGGCTCCGACAAACAAGACTAAGGTCAAGTGGAAAACTGAATTGTAGCTTGGCGTCATGATCTTGCATGCTGCGATAACAAACAAACAAGAAAAGATAAACATGGCACTGATCGATGGTTACTGTGGTCAGTAATAAATTCACCGCATGTTTACTCGTTATTCACCGCGTGTTATTTTGGGTTAGTAATTACCCCAGTTCTCAATTACGAGTCCTGCTTTAACTTGTGTGAGCTACAACGTAGATTGATCGATGACAATTCCATAAAAACTATCCGGTTTTTCGCCGATTTCATGACTTTCTATATGTGTGTATACTTTCACCGAAAGGTGACCTGCGATCAGGCGTTCTTTTGCTTTTTTTTTCGGGGGAATAAAAGAACGCCTGCTCGCAAGCGGTAGTTACACCCCGTTGAACTCTTCTGCGCAAGGTGAAATGTGAGGAAAGATGGGGAGGCTGGAGTTCCTATTCTCTTACTTGGCATCGTTACCCTTGCCGTTTAATGTTCTCTCTTAACGTCATGAGCAATCCATTACCCAGTCCAAAGGGAACAAAATTGGCCACACCCACCATATTTAAAAATTTCAATATATACAAAATTGGCCGCACCCACCATATTTAAATATTTCAATGTATCAATTCTCTCTATGAATAAAAAAACTTATTAGACTGGAAATGTATAAGAAACTAACGCACCGATGTAGCAACATTTGATTTCTATCTATCAAGATGATAGATTGAATAAATATTATGAACACTGTTTACACTGGATAACGAAACTACTGTAACGGATTGTTTCAAAATTTTGCTGGGTTTTTTAAGTATATAATATTTTGTTTTGGTTAGCTGCCACGATCGATAGCCAGTGCTGAAAATGTTAATCGATGTGCTTGAATGAAACAAAGAGAATATAATAACTTCAATTCATAAGTAAATATTTAGTCATTAGGTTTTGTTAAGTGGGCGGTCAAGTATCCGCGCGGGGCGGAAAACACCCGTCGTAAGAGGTTTAACACAGCTAAGTATTATTCTCAAAATACCTTTTGTAACAAGAAATCCAAACCATACCCATGCCCGCGCAACTAAATTAATGCCGTTCTCTGGTTAAACAAAAACTCATGTTTTAGACTAGTTTAAGAATCGTAAATTACACAACCGAGGAACCGCGGGAGGCTCTCGATTTTAGACAACAAAAAATTCAACCAGCAAACTTTCATAGTCACAGTCATCATAAATTTTCGTTAACACTAACTCTACATGGCAAGACACTTTGCGCAATGTGGTCCGGTGCGAGAAGTCCCATTTGAAAAAATTTCAAGCCTTGTACAACTGCTACATAAGCTTACCTCCGAGACCAGCCCTTCACTCTTTGTGCTATCACCTTTCGTACACGCACTTATGGAATAGACTTTTTCTTTCACATACCGGCAGAAATCGCAACCCCGGAACGACCCGCTCTTCTACGAACAAAAGCCTTTCGATTTTTAGAGGGACTGCTGCAGTTATTGACGGAATTTTACACCAAATTTCAGGTGGAAAATCTCCTTGTTCTGCAAGATACAGTCAGGGTACCTGTTAAACGCGTGTTTAACTATTCATGTAGTCAGTGTGACATGTTTAGTGACCCGGGCTGTGTTTGTGTGTTCACTTGCCGATTGTGGATGTGATGTGTGTGTTCCATTGTTTGGTTGTGTCAAGGCCGGTCAAGGGCCCCATTTATAGTAAACAAATGCATGCAGTTCAGCGATGATTAAGCACATTGAATGGACAAAACCTAAATTTCAATCAGGTTTTTTTCACAATCAGGGTACTAATAAAACGTACAGCTTTTCATAACTCGTTTGTTAACTCAGCGCATCACGTTCTTTGCAAACTAAACCCCTTATTTATTATGATTGTTATGTTGTGTTAGTGACCGACCAGTTCCTCCCAGTTTCCTTTTTTTTATTTAGCTTTATCACTAATGTTCTGTGGATATAGGAAGTATAACCATCGTTTTAGACAGACAACGCCGTTAATGCTCTCGGTCTCTTTTTACGACTACTCAAATGGTTTTCCCTTACAAATCGAACTGGTGGAATAATTTGCAATATTTTCCAAGCAAACTCAATGAATTGTATCTGTTCAACACTTTTGTTAGTAAAGTTATCTTATGAAAACACTTGAATTTTAAGGAGAGATTAATTTTAGTCAAAAGAAAATTTGCCTAATTTTATTTCCGTAATTTCCGTCATTGCTCGTGGTGTGAGTAGCCGAAGAGTAACAAGCGGGAAATCTGGACGCGTTAAACTGGGGTTGAGTCGTAAGGGTTTTTCTTAGGTGTCCGCCGTACGAGGGTGGTCACGGCTTATTACTTTCAAATATATTTAGCTGAGTACAAACCAAAGCATTCTCAATTCAAATTAAATTAAACTTGATATTACGAGTGCTAATAATGGGATTGGAGACATTGCAAATGTAACTTGTTATAATGGGTTATTTTTACAAATTCACCTTCATGGGAGGGGGGGAGGAATTTTTTCAACAGGAGCTGCCCACTGTAACGTTAAACGTTGAACGTGACGCTAAGACGCATGCAATTTAAGTGAATAATTACCATTTCCACATTCGCTTTCAGATGAGGAGAGTTATTCTCGGAGCCCCTTCCTAGTTAACTGTTGAAGCTAGTAGTCGTAGTAATGGGGTCAGTGACAGTAAAAAGTAACATTCCTAAACACAAGATATCTATTTCTCTCCACAGGTCTCTGCTCCAGTAAACCGTCTTTAAAACTGAGAGTAGGTTAACTGAAAAAGATATATAGTTTAGCCCGAAATGTTACGGAGTTGTCTGCTTCTATGTTTCTCCACCCACTTTGAATGATTATTGTGGGGAAAAGGAAGTCAACTGACATATCAGCCTGTGCCGGAAGATTAACAATAACCATGCAATCATGTTTAATATAACTTTGAACGTCATGTTATAACAGTCCACATTAACGTAATGTAAAAATAGATTTTGAAGCGTTTCATTGACGATTGTCTCCTAGTAATCTTCTCCTGACTTAGTTTTTTTCTCTTGCAATTGGGGAAAACTTCGCCAATTTACTTCTTAAAATGTACGTAATCGAGCCCCATGTGTTCACCAGCATGTACCAAGGCGACTTCTGCTTTCCGTATAACATCTTTGACGTTATTACTACCAGTTCGTGCTTTCTTTCTCAGCTTGGCAACCTTATCAGCCAGCGCGACATATTGCTTAGCAATTTTCAGCTTCTTTCGCGCCTTGTTCAATTTCCACTTTATTTCTTCCACTTTCGTTTTAAATTTCGGGACTTTCTCTAGCAACACGGCGGATGTCGACTCTGTCTCTTTCCCAGGTTCCGCACCAGAGGCCTCGGCCTGTTGAAGCTCTGTGAGAAGTGAGCGATTGCTGTCACGTGGTTCGGGCTTTTTCTCTGAAAAGTTAAAAAGTAAAACAGAGATGGCTTGGCTAAATTACTTGCATGGCAAGGAAAATGTTCAAGCCACATGCTAGTCGATGCAAGCTGGTGAGAGGAGGCCATGCAGGAGCCAATGGCTGTTGCAAATTCTTGCAGTCCTTCGCGGACTTCCGATCTAAATGTCCGCGTTGAAGGTTTTCAGGTAAATCTGTTGCGTCATGCTACTTAGCAACACTACTACTGAACACTGCGGGCTCGCATCAAATTCTGACAAGATTCTTTCCGAAATAAGAACTTAGCGTTTTCCTGGGGAATACAAACTCAGTTTCATGATAGCTATAGCTCCCTCTCGATCCCTTTCCCACATGGAGTTGTTAATCTTAAATTTGGACAGGGAGACTAACATTTGTCGCAAACGAGTCTGATTCAATGTCAATCCTTCTTTTTAAGAATGCAAGTTGAGATTGAAGAAGTCGAAAACGACAGGTGTTACATTGAAGCGGCCGTCGACAACCAGTTCTGCTGGATTCAGTCATTAAACCAAGACAGCACGTTCGGGTTATAATATCGCCTTTGTTTGTCGTGGAAAAAAGTTCTGGGAAAACTTAAGTAAATTTCAAATCGATGTTTAGAAAAATCCCTCACTAGATCGCACTTTTCTCCACTTGATCTATCACTTGAGAGTCATAAACACAGTAGACATTATATAGGTTACTAACAAAAGCCGAAATGTGTTCAGTCATTGGATAACAAAAGGAAACTAAAGCAACAAATCAACGGGTCGTAACATGAAAGCGAGCTCTGGTTTCACTCCTACCTTCCTTCTTTGCGGGTAATGCCGCTATCACTACACCGAGGAAAATTAGAACTACTAGGTTGTCCAACCTCATCGCGGCCGTGCCAAGACCCTCAGTGCTGTAACCTGGTTATTTTTAACTGAGCAGTGATCAGAGTTATTATAGAAATCAAAGCCAAGAACATATACCTGTGAGATCTAATGGAGTGTGCGCAGTTGTTAAATCTTTAATATAAAGAATGAGATCCATTTAGTTTTCACAAGGAAGGCAGCAATCACCGTCAGTCGCTCAGTGACGGAGAGACAAAATCGAATCGTCTGTTAAATCAGGAAAGCCAAAGAAACTGTTTTATTTCCGACTAACGATTGAACAGTCAGTCTCGTTTCCATACGGTCGAGTTTTTTTGTTTTGTTTTCGAAAGCCAGCAAATTCTTAACGAGTGGAATAAATTAAACTACAGTCGAACCTCCCGTAATTGACCACCCAAAATGCCAAGCCCGGTCGCTTACGAGAGCTAAGACCAAAATTTTGCCTCATTAGCATATGAAATGGTAACTGCAGAGACTTACCCAATGTTTTAAATGTTTCATTGATGTCAAATATCAATTTCTAGAAAAAAAAAAACTGTACTTGCCACTGAAAAATATCCGTCTCTTATACTACCCAGTATTGCGCTAATGTTACGACAATTTATTATCCAGTTTCCGCGCTATTATACGGTCAAGTAGTCGCAAAAGAAAATTTCAAACTTTAAGCTCTAAAAGTGGTCGCGGTCGCTTACGAGAGGTGGTCGCTTACAAGAGGTTCCAAATATAGTGATTTGACTCGGAAACTTTTGGTATTTTGGAATAGTGGTGGCTGAGGATCAGGTTGCCGCTTACGATAGGTGGTCGCAACCGGAGGTAGATGCTCGAACCGTAATGGGAAATATTGGTCCTCGGTCATTTTTGCACAGACCTCCCCGCATACTGCCACGACGTCGAATATTTCCCAGTACGGCCCTTGGGCTCAGTTAGTAAGAGGTTGTTATTTTGAAATATCCTAAATTTCTGCTGAGGCGGGAAGATCGTCAAATCACCCATGGATCATGGGTTGCCTGTGCTCATTTCGTCTTTTTAGTCAGTGCTAGCCTGCGAGCAGGCTCTTAAAGCAGGCTAAGGGCCTGTTTACAAGGAGAGAGGGTTAATCTAGTAAGCGGGTTAACCTTAGCTGGAGGGCAAAAGATAGCCCGGGTTTACAAGCAAAATTTCACAGGTAGGGTAACCCTACAACCCGGGACAACTTAATGCGCGGTTACACTCAAAGGTTCTGGAAACAATTAGAAAGTTAACCCGGCTAGGCGGGTTAACCCTACCTGCAGTGTTTACAAGGGAAAAAGTAGTTAACCCCCCTGCCAGGGTAACCCTAGCACGTAGATGGGGTAACCCGCCTACCCGGGTAATCCTAGCTGCCTTGTAAACACGACGAAGGAAAGGGTAACCCGCTTGCTAGCTTACCATTTGTCAGAATGAACCAGCGCAGTTGGGATGACCGTCGAATAATGGTAAGGGTTTTTCTAAAATCAGCAAACATCTGAAACATGGCGCTTTCCATTTGCAATTCGATTGTTTTCGCAGATGAGAGACTGGAAATCGGAAAATTTACCAAATGGTCTGGAAATTTTCATCGTTCCGTTCCGAACGGAGAAGAGAATGGGCGCGTTCCATTCGACCAAAATTTCCGAAAATTCCGGTTCAAAGTCAAATGGAACAGAAATTTCCGGAAGCTCATTTCGAAAATTTCGGTCAACTTCTTGAGGTTGTCCTTTTTTCCGGAAATTTGGAAATTCCGGAAATTTTCTGTTCCATTTGACATTTCTACCCGGTATGAATCGGCCCCAGTTCCTCTAGTCGTGCCTGAAAGCTACAAGATGGCGGCGTGTCGATACTACACCGGGTGCAAAACGATCTGCCACAGTTCGAGCCTTTTATTGATTGCCTATCCTCCACAAAAACCTTAGGATCTGCTTTCCTGGAAAATTGTGGACTGGTCGTTCCGATTTTCCTGAGGGCATTTGCCCGGTTTGCATAATCTCCCGCAAGAAAAGTTCGCAAGTTAATTATCACACGAAAATAATTCTTGAGTCGGTCAGGTAAATATCTCGGAAGAGTTTACTTAAAATAGTCGTGAATGCGTGTTAAATTTCGTCGCATCAAGCAGCTTACTGCACTTACGACAGCCACTTCATGATTATTCTTCAGCATTTTGTCGAGTAAGGAACGTAGACCTGACTCGAGAAAGCGGCGGAAATCGAGCCTAATATTGGCGGGAAATGTTCCCAAGCGGGAATAGAACGAGATGGGTCTGGCCCCTGGGCCTGGTCCGGCCTGGTGGAAAATACCGTTCCATTCGGCATACGAAAGTTTCGGTAATTCAAACCGGATTTTTTGGTCGAATGGAACGCGCCCAAATATCTCTGGAGGTAGTCTACAATTTCCGAAAGGATTTTCCGGAAAATTACAGCTCCATTTGACTTTCAACCGAAATTTCCGGGGTTTTTGCTAAATTGGTTCTTTTGGGCAGTAAAAGAACACGACAAGGCGGTGCTTCTGTCAATCAAAAGAAATCTTCAGCGATTAACTTTTATTGTGGATTTTAACTACAAGACAAAAGACCATTATTCCTCTTGAGCCATTCATCGTGCAGTATCTATGGAAATGCGAGACGCACATTCCAGCTCGACCAAGCGACGCAAATGATGTTCCTCCCTTCTTGGATTGCCAAAAGCACGTCGGAGCTTGACTGTTTTGACGATTCAAAGAGTAATTATTTGGAAAACCAGTAAACGTTCGTTCGAAGAAGCGAAGTGAAGTCGCATTTAAACGTTGCCGAAATTCGTACCAGCAATCTGCTAGGGACAAACTAGCGAGGAAAACCAAAGGATTCGAAACAGCTGCTCTCTGGAATGCTTCATGAACTTTGATGGCCCCGCGTATGGATCCAACAGTTTCGACGACAATGCCATCAGCGACAGACATTTCCGAATCAACTGCTACCGATGGAGAGGAACTGTGGCGTTCAGTTACTAGTGTAGGAGACACGATCAATGCGATTGCATTCGGAATTTTGATTCTGTTTACAGCGTTTGGTAATCTTTTGATCCTTGCTGCCGTCTTTAAGAGCAAGAACCTTCGCTTTCGCACACACTTCTACATCGTCAGCCTTTCGCTAGCGAATTTGCTCATGGCCGGTGTAGTTATGCCTCTTCGAGTGATTAGCTTTGTGGAAAAAAGCACTTGGTTTGCTAATCCAGATCTGTGTGAAACATATGGCAGCTTCTTTGTACTGTTTTGTACAGTGACCGTCTACACACTGGCTGCAATGAGCTTGGATCGGTATTTCTCGATCTCGCGATACAAGTGGTATCAGAAATTCCTCACCAACGGACGAACATTTTGGTTCATAATTCTCTGCTGGAGCGTCGCAGTTCTCGTGTCGTTCGTATTCGCGAATTTCGACAACAATGCGGAAAAATCCATGGACTGCAAGTTGAGCAAAACATACACAACGGCATATGTTTACGTTTTTGTGGGCATAGAAGTCTTAACTCCGGTGGTCTTCATGTTGATCTTGCAATGGCAGGTCATGAAGACAGCCGTCAGCCATCTTCACACAGTGGACGTCTGCGGAAGACAGATCAAGAATCTGGACTATGCTGATTTTCCATCGATCGCCAAAGAATCGACTTGGTCGAAGATCGTGGTTCGAATCACGCTGAGTTTCGTCATCTTTTGGATTCCAAGATGCATTTTCCTTCTCTTGGACAATAGTAACACTGCAGGAATCCACGACGTCGCGGATGGCTTGACAGAAATTATGACTTACTGTTTCCCAGCTTCATTCGCCTTGCTGTTGGGTTACTGGAGCAAGGAATTCAAAGAAGAATTCACGAATATGCTGTGTCCTTATGCTTGTTATCAGAGGAACAAGGATATGAAGAAGTATCGCATGGGCGACTCCAATAAAGTCAAGCCATCCATGATGTACAGAAAGCACTCGAAAAACTTTCCAATCTCATGAACATTGGAATAAGAATGTGGAAATTAAATGGAAAATCTGTAGTGAGGGTACCACAGACACCCCTCTGGATATAGACCCTCTCTCCACCCTTAGATCTTTGTATAGCATTGCAATTACAGCAATGTACCTTTTGAACAGGTTCCTTAGTGGAGCATAGTGTGAAAAGAAATTGACAATGGCATGTGAAGTGAGCTTAGTGCGGTCTGAGCAGAAATATCTTGTGCTTGACTTTCTCCATCTGCCAATTGTTCCCTTTCTGCCCTTAACTCCACTATACTAATCGGCTAGTATTGGTGTCTATGAGCACCAAGGTTATAAGGTGTGTGTTTCTTATTATAGTGTTGTGCAAACTGCTTACCGCCTTATACGGCTTCAAAGACCATATTCTGCTCCTCTGATTAGTCTTTGCAACACAGATCGAGTTTATAAATTTAGCCTGGTGGGGGCTTAAAATTTGATGACAAAAGTACATGATTGTATTATGATTAGCATTTTTGATGGTGGGTGAGGGAGAATTGGGGAGGATGAGATTAAGTATCCCTTTCATAGTTGTTGTTGAGAAAGTTATCATCTATTAATGTATTTAATAGTGAGTACAAACACTTGGTTTGCAATGTGTTGCAGAAGTTATGAAGTAGGGTTTTTGAGATGTCCTTTTAGCTTGGGACAAGGAATAAAGTGAGTATCAGATTTAAATGTGCAGTCTTGTTTAAATTATATTAACAGTACAAGNTCGGTAAAATCCAAAATGGTGGACGAACACGTGGAAAGCAAGTAGCGCAAAAAAGGATTTATTTCGATACAATGGAGACGAATTTGGATCGAGATTTGCCAGGAGAGGTTCGAAGATTTGTTCGTGAACGTCAAAACAGCCTAGCAAATGCATCCAGCTCAACTGAAGTTATCGAACCTTTGAATGACATCGCTGAACTTTTTCTGCGAGGCTCTCTGCAGCCCGGGAAAGTTCCTCTAGATAAGCGTCCATCCCTGAAAGCTGAATTTGTAAACAATCACTTTTTAAGGTTCGCTGAATTTATTCTCTCTTCGCCAGTGATCGGGTTTTACGGCAGCTTCAATGAAGACCAAAGAAAAGATCTTTTTGACGTGTTTTTCCTGCGTGGTCCTTCACACGACAGTCTTCTTGTTTTAGGGGACGCGCTTTCCAAGCAGACAGCGAATTTAAAAAACACCAGGGTGGTAGTCTCTTTGCTCGAGAAGTTCTGTGCGGAAGGAAGGCTAGTTGATGTGTTCGTACAACAATGTCGGATATCCAGGCCTTTGACAAGTGGGCCTCAAAAGTTCAGTCAGTCAGAATTGGAAAGCAAGCTTTGGGGACAGCTTATAACTTTAATAGTTTCCCTCCCGCAGAGAGTGGCAAACAAGATGAGACTGAAGTGCAGTCCACAGTTTTACCCAGAGCCCTATTTCAAAATGGTTGCTGATCAGATTCTGAAAGCACTAGAGAAATTGCATGACAATCTTACAATGTCGTATGATTGTTCTTTTAAGTTCCTTGGTGAGCTTATTGGACGGATTTGCATGGCTGGGCAAGCCGAAAAAACTTTTGCTATTTTGTTGCCAGCTTTAGAGAGGTGGCTAGCGACAAGTCCACTTTGGAACAGAATATGTGCACGATTGATCACTGGGGTTCCAGATGGCACCATGGAACATGTTACAGAAGGTCTGCTCAAGGCAGCTAACAATCCCAGCTTAATCGCTAAGCTATTTGGTGATTCAATTCTGTCAAACACCAAACTCAAATACTTGCTGACCAGTAAGTTTCTACTGATAAGAAGCTATTCAAACACAAATGTTCTGTACAACATCATTGCATATTTATCTGGATGCAAGCGGCGGCATTTATTAGTGGAAGTTTTA